TTGGTTTAGTGGACGGTTATGTACACACATCGAGTCGTTTTTTGTATAAAGATTGTTTCCACAGACCATTCTAAAGACCCAAGGCGCACAACAATATTAAATCCTAAACTCAAAATACGTAAACTTTAATGTCCTAGTTTGTAATTGTTCACCTCCACGATGTCCAATCTGTTCAACTGCTCTACAGGCGCAAATTTTTCACAGTGTACATATGCGATTGTATAATAATTTAATAATCTCCATCGAGTAACGCATGTATGTAATGTTAGAGAAAGTCGAGATTCCGATGACACTTCTTTTTAATCTTCAATGATGTATGTAGATGTGGGGTTTCGTCTAAATATGCGAATATAGCAGCAGCTGTCATATTTATCTAATGCAGAGTTGGTGGTAATTACAAGTATAAATAGTAACTAAACGATGCAATATTATGCAAATAAATATATTCCAATGCGACTATACTTGTTATCTCAATCGACGAAGGGTGACCAAGAATGCATACAGTGCTGACGTTATTTCTGTGAATGGTGGGCCATGTGGTCATCATAACCAGCCACACGTCATTACAGAAAGCTAACAACATGATGTTATCCAGTTTTTACGCATTTAAATTACGTCTGGTACTATTTTTCACTTTTCTGTTTCTTTTGATTATTCATAGTTTTATAATATCAAAGGAATCAGACTTGAGGTTTCCAACAGGAAGTCGAAAATATAACTTTTTACCAAAAATATTTCTCTAATCAAAATCAGAGATTTAAATATATCATTACGAAATGAACAAATCTGCATCTTCTCAAGTTACATATACACCAAAAATTTTAGTGCGGGAGTGACCTTAGAACAGCGAATGCCAAGTCTATGATATTTCATTTAATTATCAATACAAAGACACAATTATCGTTGGATAATCAATTTTCGAAAAATACATAGTTAATAAGTTATCCTCTAATAAACACCGTGATTCACCTTCTCGCATTACACACAAATGCGAATGTACTATAGTATGTTCCAGCAATCACTACTCAATATTATAACAAACAGACTTGATTCTTCACTAAATTCGATGATTTTCCCGACATATTTGTGAACAGGAATCGCGGGTTTATCGGCGTCCTCGGAATCACTTACCCAATGTTTTGTTGATATATTTGTTAATAAGTAACTCCAATACTGTAAGGGGGACTGGACCACATGACAATACTGCATCGTGGAATTCTTTGAGGTCGAACTTGTCACCTATGCATGACGTAAGACTGTTCTTAATTATTGTCTAATTTATATACTACCCAGGTAATATTAATAGACAAGTTTATTTAGTCAATATTATGTCTCGGAACATCTCGGAATGAATCTATGTTGCATATGTCATTTTAATTCATCTTTTTATTTCCTACCGTTCAAGATTCTAAATAAATACTATGAAAGACAACTTATGTTAATTAGACGGCATTCAAACAAATAACCCAAGCTACACAACAAACTGTTAAGTTTTACTGACACATATCCCACCTATAATTAATCTTAAACAA